ATCCGTGCAGAGAATGATTGCGACATTAACTGTATTAGACACGTGCTATTTCCATTGTCTTTCTTTTCCAAAAACCTTTGATGAGGGAGATAGTAGTAGGTGGATTTAGTTGTGGTGGTGGGCGGGGATCAAAGACTATCTCTATATCTGAGCAGACAATGATTGTATTAGACACGTGCGTTTTCTATTTTCTTTCATTTCCATTTAGCCAAACTATGCCACAGCAACGCGTGGCCGGGTACAGCTAGTATATATATATATATATATATATATATATATATATATATATCTATATATATATATATATATATATATATATATATATATATATATATATATATATATATGTTTTAACACACGGCTGTGAATAATGGACAGTTAATAAACAAGCCAAACATCTACTTGAGATTCAGAGATGTGATTTAACAGAAGAATTCATTGGACATCCAAAAAAGGCAATCGAGATGTTTAGAAAGGAAGGGTGTCAGCACACAAACGGATACCTGTAGCTGTTGATAGCAGATTGTGGAGCGGTATGAACTCTAATGCCAGTCATCAAGGAATGCACATTACAGCATTCATTGTTTCTTCTCTAAAGCGTACTGTTTATCGTTAACGCGTACTGTTTATCGTTTGTTTCAACTCTTCGACAGCTTTTAACAACTAAATCAGCATTGCAGCTTTTTATTCGTTCGTCAACGCTCTCATTCTACTCACCGTTTTTATCAACTCTTTGACAGCTTTTTAAAAATAGATCTACATTGTAGTTTTTCCCTCCTTTGTCAACGCTCTCATTCTGCTCACCGTTTGTTTCAACTTTTCGACATACTTAAACAACTAAATCAACATTGCAGCTTCTTCCCTTCCTACATCAACGCTCTCATTCTGCTCACCGTTTGTATCAACTCTTCGACATACTTAAACAACTAAATCAACATTGCAGCTTCTTCCCTTCCTACATCAACGCTCTCATTCTGCTCACCGTTTGTATCAACTCTTCGACATACTTAAACAACTAAATCAACATTGCAGCTTCTTCCCTTCCTATATCAACGCTTTCATTCTGCTCACCGTTTGTATCAACTCTTCGACATACTTAAACAACTAAATCAACATTGCAACTTCTTCCCTTCCTACGTCAACGCTCTCATTCTGCTCTCCGTTTGTATCAACTCTCTCACTGTCTCCACCAACAAAATCAACACAGCAGCGTACTCTCTGCCTCCTCCAAATCGTCTTCCTCTACTGGGTGGCACATATTAGAGGAATAGCGATTACCTCTAACTGTGTCTGGCAGCGGTAACACCCCACCAAGCCAATGCTCGTGCCAGCACGCGCGTTTCTCCCATTCACGCGCAACGCACGCGCTTGGCTCTACAGCCATCCTTTTGATTGACATGCCGCCCGAATGGCAAATTCTTCCTCCCCTTTTCACTTCTGCTTCTCTAGAAAGAATATATTACCGTCCGCTCTCCTCCCGTGAACAGTCCATGAAATTTTGATGTTTGTAAAATTATCTACGACTCTTCAGCGCGGCCGAATTTCATGTTAATATTTATTCCTCGTGAAATCTTCATGAGCGTTTTCCCGGTTGTTTGAATAGTTCCACGGATTATCGTCGGTTTTCCGGGAGAATTTTCCACAGCCGGCCCAGGAAAAGTAAAACGAGCCACTATACAGCTTGAGTTTAACAAGACCAGTATTAAGTACTTTCGGTTATATAAAAATGTCATTGGTCAAAATTTAATGATCACTAGATTGTGGTGTTTTTCGGTACGGAAAGATAAAAGAGATTAGGAAATAAGGTGCGGTTCCTGAATTATTGATGCTAACAGTAGGACTTCAGAGCTTGTCGAAATATTATTATTTTTTTTTTCGTTGCTTCTCTCTCTTTTTGTTTTTAATAAGCTTGTTGCGGATCTTATTTCAAGCTCGTTGACTTTATTAGGATTGTTTTTGCTTCGGAAATTGTCGTCCCTATTTCTAGTATTATTTTATTTATTTAATTTTTAGTTTTTGTTTTGTTTTGTTTTGTTTTTGAATTTACATCTTCTTTTTTAGGATACCCCGAGAACACAATGGTCAGCATACATGGTCATCGGGTCCGTATGCGTTCTATTTGCCAATAACAACGCCCCCCCCCCCCAACCCCCACAACCCCTCCTTTTTTGACTTAAAAAATTGAATGCTTCAGGATCCACTAGAGCTAAAATTGTACTAGGAATTAATTTGGGAAGTAAAGGCGGTCGATGTGATCAGGGCCATATTTAGACTTGTAAAACACGTGCAACCGTACAAGGCGGCAAATTTATGGGGGCGGTAAATTAGTAGTAATAGACTTTTTATCATTATGGAAGCTACATTAGATTACCTTTTTGTTCTGCCATTGTATTCACATGACAATAGCGGTGCTAAAGTTTAGTTGACGGAAGAGGGGTATCATATAAATGATTGCATAGGGGCGTCATATGTCTTAAAATGGCCCTGGGTGGTATATTGACCTCATCACAGGTTGGATGCCGATTTATCAATATGGGGCGAGTACAGTATATGTAAAGCACTTCAATGTATATTCTTCTTCTTCTCTGTTCACCGGCTACAAGTTCCGGTGGATAGTTCTGGTTGTTCGTCCATTTGGACTTTGGCTTTGTGCAGGGTCTCAGTTTTGCGTGTACATCCGTTTTACTGGCTTACTTCTGTGGAGCTGGTTAGTTCCTTGCCGCTCGGGCAGAAGCACTGCGTCTTTGAAAGAAGTACCTAATTAGTCGACTCCTACGTCATGCTTGTTGGAGAGACAGTTAGTCTATTCTTGCCCCCACCTCACCCCCACCCCCACAATGGGGCATCTGAATCCACATGGGGACTTCAAAGTATGAATATTGGTCCGGTTTTTTTAACTTACTTTTTATATTATTTTTTTAATGTTACTTCTTTGCCAGAGAATGTGCCAGTTCACATCGACGGACTTTAATAAACAACCTTCTAGGTCAACAAAGTCTAATACGAGTTTCAGAAATTATCTGGGAAGTAAAGACGGTCGGTGTGAGGTTGATGATATGACCGATTGGTCGATAAACAAGAACTGGTTTATACAAAACATGAATCTAGCACCAGATTTCTTTCGTCAGTGGCGTTAGAGTGGTCTTGGACTATCTACTGAAGGTTTTGAGGTTTTAAACAACCCATAAGTGCTCTGTTCTTCTTCTGACCCAAGTCTGAGTCCGAAGAAGCTCAGCCCAGTGCACAGGCTCTGTAGCACCGGCGAGGATCCTGAAATACTTTTGGTAGATTTTTAACTCAAAAATTTTGCTCGGGCAGCGCCGTTAGGCTACTCTTTTCGAGTCTCCCAGACAGGGTGAATTAAAAGAAAAAAAAAACCCAGAGCTCTTTCCTGACCTCGTGGTAAACTAGACTTTATAGCATTTTCACAATGACAACTAATGTAGCGAAAACACACATTTCTCCTCTTTAAAAATTAATGAAAAGCCCACAACTGTATACACTAGTCTGCTTTGGATGAGGGAGAGGGGGGGGGGGATTATTAGTTACATAACGGTCGCCTTACCTTCCATGGTATTTTCTAGTGTCCATGTATGCTGCAACTCCCATGTCCTGTTATTCTTCTTAGCTTTCATCGGCTATAAACTCAAGCGGAAAGTTGTAATTATTCAATCCCCTCTGGTTTCTGGTTTTGTTGCAGAATTTTAATTTTGCGTGGACATCCGTTTTTCGTGCTAGGTGTACTTGTATGCAGACTGTTGGTTTCGCTGCTTACGCCGAACTGTTACGGTGCCGACTGATTCGGCCGCCTACCTCTATCATGGCATGGCACGGACCTGACTTTAAATTTACTTACAAACCAAAATGTCATGTTTAAAAGTGTTATCATTGTTCACATTTCTAGAGCATTACTGGGAAAGCTTGTCTCCCTTGTCAGAAGTTACGCATAAACAGACGAGAAGTTAAATTTAAAAACATGGATGAAATCAGAGAACCAGTATATTGCAAAGACATTGCTTTACGCAAGTTAAGACAGTAACTTCTCCAAGCGAATCAGTGTTAGTTACCAATGGGCCACAAATTCACCTATCAAGTGATTAACTGAGTCTGCGTTAATTATTATTATGTCACAGATTCACATACCAAGTTATTGAGGGAATTTGTGTTAACTACGGATGCGATATAAAATGACACACTGACTGGAAAAACGATTGTTAGCTTCTTTTGCATCTATACGTAATGTTTAAGCGAGTTTTGTGGTAATTACTAAGACATCACTGTGGTTATTTATATTTTGCTCGACTATACCTGAAAATTCGGCCTGGCGAGTAGCTTATCAGAAAGCAACGTGTGTGTTTTTTACAAGTACGTCACATAAAAATTCATCGACTATACCCGAAAGTTTACATTGCGAGTAATTGACAAAGGCAGTTCTGTATTTGTTACTACAAAACGAAATCGATTTCATCCAGAACTTCGAGTACGGGCGATCTTTTACTACTGAATAGTATTAAAACACATCGACTTTACCCGCATGTACAGCCTTGCGAGTGTCTGGCGAAGAAAATTTTGTGTTTATTAACATTGCTTTACAATAAAATTATCAAGTTTATCCTCAAGTTTCGCCTATCCAGTAACTAACAGGGCCCATTTAGTTCTGTTTGCGTTAATATTACGTCCCATTAACACATCGACTTTACCTACAAGAACGGGAGAATTATTCACAGGATGTAAACCACCGGACGCCATTTCTTGAAAATTTAGGTGGTTTTGAAAAACCTAACGTTCCGCGAAAAAAAAACCAGAAAAATAATAAACGCCCACAAATGAGTACAACTAACGACCAGTAGACAAAACACTGAGCCGATCATTAAAAATTCCAGTGTTGACAGTTAGTAAATCTGTGATAAGCTATCACCTTATATTGTACTGACCTTCAAACAAAAATGGCTGTAGCAGTGTATGACCGACAGGCCGCCCCGCCGTGTCCCTTTCCTACAATGAACATGAAGCAGCCTTCCCTAGGGATTACCCCGGCCCCCTTGTCCCACCACGGAGGTCGGCATTCGCCGAACCCCCGTCACTGGGGGTCCACTCAGGATCGCATCAGATGTATGCCTTCTCCATCGGTACGTATTGTGTGTGTGTGTGTGTGTGTTTTTTTTTTTTTTTAACATATCAGCTCACTGCTGAAAAAAAAAACATTTACATTATTTTGTTTCGTTTTCGCATGATTTTAACTTTTATATTTTACCACTGGTTTGAATGGGAGCCGCCCTGATGGAAAGGCTAGACGCTCGCTTGGGGTTCCCAAAGTCGCGAGTTCAAATCTGCATGCAGCTGGATTTCTTTCCGAGATGATCTTGGCTGCCAGATCAACCCGGCCTTAAATACGTACCAGATAAAGTCCTGGGAAGTAAAGGCGGTCGGCGTGATTCTGACCACATCACCCAACAAGTGACGATTGGTATATAAAATACAAGTTTAGCCCAATATTTCTAATACGCATTTTTTTTTGCGTTATATTTAAGACCCCTCAGGCTGTAATCGGGGGCCCTAATATAACCGAACTGTTGAAGGAGGTCACTAGAACTTGTTCCCGGGTGGTTTTCATTCGAAGGGTATCACCAGGTGTTTATTTTTCGTTGTGCGGTCCTCCTGGGGTTGAACTTCATTCTGATGTCTGTTTAACGCTTTGAAGCTTTCTGAAAATAGAATGTTTAAAATTTAACAATTTACTGTGAAAGATTAATTTATTCAGCTTTTATCAACATCATAATTTGTCGTACCGATAATCTCAGGCTGTCATGATTCGCTGCCCCGCATGATTACCAGAACTCCAGATCAGATCAGTGTTCTTATTTCTCCTCATCCATATAGCTAAGCGCGGCGTCCGTGGGTTAGGCGTTGCGAGTCCGACTCGTAATTCTGAAGTACAACAACCGAAACCACTGCTGCCTGCATGGATTTTTATCGTGGTACGGGGCGTCGCAGGTCGACCCAGCCTAAAATGGATACCAGGATGTATGTCCTGGGGAAGTAAAGACGGCCGGCGTAATGCTGACCACATTACCCACCTAGTGCCGATTGGTCTATAACTTATGTGTGCTCTTCCCATGTGCCCGATGCGCTTAAACGCGTGAAAAGGGATCTTTACTTTTTTATTTTTATTTTACAGAGCTAAGTAGTTCAAATGTTTATCTCGTTGCTTCCCTCTTGCCCTCTATTAACCAGCCCTGCCAGTTGTCTCCAAATTCTCGAACCCACTCCTTCTCACAACATGTCGAAAAACACACACGTTGTCTACGCCTAATTTCTCTAATCAGTTTACTTCCTTTTCCTCGAGTTCACCGGCTGTAAACTCCTGTAGAAATGGCTGGCTGTTCGTCCACTTTTGGACTCTAGTCTTGCTCCAGAACTTGAGTTTTGAGTGCACATCCATTTGACAGACCTGGCTTTTTCGTATGCTGGTTCCTCATCTTTTAAGCAGATACACCCCAACTTCTAAGGAAATATATCTAACTAGTCAACTTTTGGAGACTGTTCGACAGAAATTAAAAGGAGGATGGCCATAACAATGCAAAGATTGAACAGCCTTAAAAGTCTATGATTAAGCACCAGCAAGGAGATAAAATTAGAATTTTGAGAGCATGCATCTTCCCTGTGGCTACATGCGGATGTGAGTCGTGGACTATCTCTCAGTCCTTAAGAAAGAGAATAGGGTCTTTTGAGCTGAAATGCTATAGAAAGATTCTCAGAATATCTTGGACAAAGAAGATGAGAAATAGTGACATCTTAAGAGATCTGAACATCAAGGAAGATTGGCTAATAAACAGCATCCTTTCTCGAAAGCTGAAATATTTTGGTCATAGCAAGCGCCACGACGGATTGGAAAAAATTATAGCAGAAGGCATGGTACCAGGAAGGAGGGGCAGAGGTCGACCGACACGAAGATGGGCACAGGATATAAGTGACTTCTTGAGTGTGAAAGTTCATGAGGCGGGAGAACTAGCAAGAGACCGAGTTCCTTACAGGCAGATTGTGATGAGAGCGACGTCCTGCAAAGGACCTGCTACATGATGATGATGAGTCAACTTTTACGACTTGTAAGGGAACAGTGAGTGTCTACTACTTTGCTCTGTCTCGGGGAGGACTGCCTCGTTTGTTTTCCTATTATTCCTCAGTTTTGTTCGTTGTCTTCTCCAAAAACAAAACAAAAAACAAAAACAAAAAAAAACCACATCTCAGTGATGATTATATATATATTTTTTCAAACTGTTTGCTGATTATCCATATCCATACAAATTTCAAATTGTTTGCTGATTATCCATATCCATATAAACAAAAGCTTAAAGCTCTTTCCCGCGCCTTTAGGCGTATTGGGCACACAAGGATCGACGATATTTTATAGACCAATCGGCACTTGGTGGCTGATGTCGTCAACACTACATAGGTCGCCTTTACTTCCCAGTACACTTCCTGGTACCCACTAAAGGCTGGGTTGACCTGGCAGCCTAGGTCATTTTTTAAGGAAAAAAAGTTCGGTTCCATCAGGATCCGAACACAAGACCTTCTAACCTACAGCCGATCGTCTAGACGTTACACCACGACGGCTACTCATATTATAATATGATTTGATTTGATTTGATTCAAGAACCGACATCACAGTACTCGGGGCATTACCATAAGCGCTCCGTCCCCATCCTCAGCAGCCAGCGAAGAGTTCCGATACTAATTGTGCCAGTAGCATTCTCATTAAACGTCCGTCTTGCCTTGCCCCTGAGCCTCGAGCATCTGCCAGAACCTCTCGTCACACCCCCTGCATCAATCTCACCAGACTAGGTGATCCATCTGCTCCTCCGAATTTTACACGCTCTACAACAAGGCACTAACTACGTCTGCCTATAAATACTGTCTATATTATAATATAGGCTGTACAAGGCACTCTAAGGCTGTGATTGGGTCTTCAGTATTGATTGTATTTTCCTCATAAATATATCGTGCATCTTGCTGTTCCGTTAGACTATCAACGGGGCTGTGTGGTCTTGGGGCATGGTGTCCGCCTCGAGTGCTGTGGGTTCAGGGTCCAGTCCCCGGTCGGGGCTGGGATTTTTTTCACGTGGACTCGGACTCCTAGTAATTACCCATGCTCTCTGGGTAGTGAGATTGGACGCCCGTGTGCATTGCTGCGCACGTAAAGAAATCCCGTGGCAGTTGTAAATCGAAAAGAGAAGCCTAATGGCACTGCCCGGGCCAAATTTGGAGTTACAAATCTACCCAAAGTATTTCAGGATCATCACCGGTGCTACAGAGACTGTTCACTGTGCTGAACTTCTTCGGACTTAGACTTGAGTTAGAAGAAGAACGGATCATTTTTGGGTTACTACCCGTGTGCCATGATGTTGACCCGTTGTTCAAACTTCAAACTTCAAACATAATACTTCCAACAGGCGGTTATTTATTGCACATTTTTTTTTTTTTTTTTTACTGAAAAGACATTTTCAAATTTATTATTTGTTTCTGGCGACCCCTTACTTACTGCATTTATTATTTTGTCGCGACTGTTGATTTCTTTACTCATTACTCAGAATATATTTTTTTAAAGCTGTTTTAATGTTTTCTTTCTGTCGCTTTGATATTCCAGCTTTCTGCTGTGCAAGCATATTTTAAAAGCTTTTTTTTTTCCCTCTCTCATATTTGCCCATCACTAAATAAAAGTATATAAAATAATGACTCGTTACGTCAAAATTAAATGTGGCAATAATTAGGTTAACAGTAAATTAATGTTCTTGAAATAATGAGTCAGAACAGCGGAACAAATCTATAGGAAATAATAAATAACAACGCATACAAATACACGCCCTCATGAGTCAAAGAAGAGTAATTAGTACAGGAAATACCAAGTCACAATAGCATAGTAAATACTGGAAGTAATTAGTTCCCACAGTGTAATAAATACTGCAAGTAATTAGTTCCCACAGTTTAATAAATACTGGAAGTAATTAGTTCCCACAGTGTAATAAATACTGGAAGTAATTACTTCCAACAGTGTAATAAATACTGGAAGTAATTAGTTCAGGAAATACCAAGTCACAATAGCATAATAAATACTGGAAGTAATTAGTTCCCACAGTGTAATAAATACTGGAAGTAATTACTTCCAACAGTGTAATAAATACTGGAAGTAATTACTTCCAACAGTGTAATAAATACTGGAAGTAATTACTTCCAACAGTGTAATAAATACTGCAAGTAATTAGTTCCAACAGTGTGATAAATACTGGAAGTAATTACTTCCAACAGTGTAATAAAGACTGGAAGTAATTAGTTCCAACAGTGTAATAAATACTGGAAGTAATTAGTTCCAACAGTGTAATAAATACTGGAAGTAATTACTTCCAACAGTGTAATAAATACTGGAAGTAATTAGTTCCAACAGCATAATAAATACTGCAAGTAATTAGTTCCAACAGCGTAATAAATACTGTAAGTAATTATTTCCAACAGCGTAATTAGTGCTGGAAGTAATTAGTCGTAACAGCCTAATAAATACTGCAAGTAATTAGTTTCAACAGCGTAATAAATACTGCAAGTAATTAGTTTCAACAGCGTAATAAATACTGGAAGTAATTACTTCCAACAGTGTAATAAATACTGTAAGTAATTATTTCCAACAGCGTAATTGGTGCTGGAAGTAATTAGTCGTAACAGCGCAATAAATACTGCAAGTAATTAGTTTCAACAGCGTAATAAATACTGGAAGTAATTAGTTCTAACAGTGTAATAAATACTGGAAGTAATTACTTCCAACAGTGTAATAAATACTGCAAGTAATTAGTTCCAACAGTGTGATAAATACTGGAAGTAATTACTTCCAACAGTGTAATAAATACTGGAAGTAATTAGTTCCAACAGTTTAATAAATACTGGAAGTAATTAGTTCCAACAGCATAATAAATACTGGAAGTAATTAGTTCCAACAGTGTAATAAATACTGTAAATAATTAGTTCCAACAGCGTGAAAAATACTGCAAGTAATTAGTTCCAACAGCGTGAAAAATACTGCAAGTAATTAGTTTCAACAGCTTAATAAATACTGCAAGTAATTAGTTTCAACAGCGTAATAAAT